TGTCTCGGTAACGATGCAATATGATACCGATGGGTGCCATGGTTCGCAGTCGAGGTTCAGGGAGGGGTTCCAAGCCGCAAATTCTTCTGGGGTGATGCCGAAGAACTCGCGGACGTTTTCGCAGGTATCGCCTTCGCCGTTATTGTACCATTCGACGCAGTCTTTTGCTGTGTTGGGATCGTATTGAAATAGGGGCGAGCCTGTGGAGATGACTTGGCGGGCTAGCAGAGCGATGGATAAGAGAAAGGGCGACTTCATGGTGAGATTCTGGTGGGATAGAACGAGTGTAGTGCGAGTTCTGGAATGAGGTCGCGCAGGAAATGATTAGTGGTTACAAGGCAGCAACGGTAACGCCAGTAGTTAGCACCTAGTGCAATGCTGAATTCATAGCATCCAAGATCTTATGGACGTGAAGTGCAGCTCGAATGGGAAGGTCGATAGAGTCCGGAACAGTCAGGGTGCGGCACAGTCAGACCCTGGCATGGCGCATGCCTCCCTTACTGTATACGCGGGAGAACTACGCCGCATGTAGTTAGCAATTTTGTGTTCGCTTGGCAAGTACAGCATAAAAAGCTGTGTGCTGGCGATGAAGTTGCAATATACGAAATTGAAGTCTGAGCTATTGCGAGAGTCGGAGAAATACGTATGCCAGAACGAGCTGAGCAACCAAGAGCCATATCATTGAGGAGAAAACCATAACAAAAAAGTTACTGGTCGTACGCCATATCAGGAAGACTGCGATTGTCTGCATCCAGGGAGGGTTCTCAAGTACACGTCGTGCTAGGAAGAGTATACGAATGGAGTGAGCTCATTGTGGTCGCGACTATACTGCCCCGCATATTCAAATAAGAGCCATTTTGCTCGCATCCGAACGTTTCGCAGTCTTAATTCGATTCTTCGATCTGTTCTAACTCTGAGAATGCCAAGTAGATTGCAAGCCCTTCATCTCGGTTCTGATGACGCTTTGCTTTTACAATCCTTTGATTGTGGTACCTCTCAGAGACTAGTCGGGAGGGCTCGTCGGCGAGCTCGCCGACAACGAGTTATCGCAATATCATGATGCGTTGGGTCCATAAGGTCCATAGGGTCCATAGAGAGCATAAATCTCCTTTTCTCCATCAGGGCCTCCTCGAAAAACTCGTTCAGGATTCCTTGGATCGACATAGTATACGTTTTCTTTACCGCAAGGCCAATAGTGTTTATCTGTAGCTCCAACACAGTGGATGAGTCCATAGTCAGGCACGATCCAGATTGCCTTCACATTCACAAAGTTTCGGAAGCCTCTACTATGATAGCGAAACGACTCCATGTCGTGAGAGAACTTCAGGTAGCGAATGGACTTGGCGACTTCTTCGTATAAATCGAAACGAATTTCTCCGATATCAATAGTGTCGATGTCGAGGTCAGCCCACACGTACCTACATGCCGCACCGCCACTTAGCATGCATCGTCTTGTCTTATTCTATGTTAATACTTACTGCGCTCCGTAGCCAGGCAGAGCTAGCTCGGAGAAACACTTCTTATACAGTCCATAGTTTCGTGCTTCTCGGCATGCTTGGAGAACGGGAGGTACCGGCGTGGTAGTTGAAAAACCAAAGCTATCATCCTGAGTTGGGTCATAACAACGAACTTTGACCTCCACTATGCGGGGTTCAACTGTCATCTCCCATATCTGCATCCGCAGCTCGTAGGGCAGACGAGGGAAGGGGTGGAAGGTTACCATGTGGCTACGAAGATTTGCGGTTGGCGATTTTAAATGGTACCCGGATACCGAGATGTAGGTCGGTCTTGATGTGAGAAAGGGCGAAAGGGCGCTCAAATGTTGCTGCGCAAGTGTGGCGCTTTCAACCCTGCCCTTGCCGAAACAAGCGAAGGCTCTCCGCTAATGGGACCACAGCAGAACGCGGCTTCACCACTTTCGCCCAACAACCTTTACAACCCAAACTATCCAATATGGAGCAATGGCTCACTCACAAGGCAAGCGCCGGTGATACCGCCTTCAAAGAATGCACCAAAATCCTCTCAGATTACCTCTCCAGCAACACAAAGACCTCACCCGCCTCAACCGCATCAGCAATCGTCACCTCCGTCCAAGCCTCATCAAAACCCACAGACACCGGCTTCGAAGTCACAAATCTACTGCTAGACACAGTCGCCCAATTCGTTTCTTCCGTCACCCCCATCATCGCCCTCCTCCCCGCCATTCGCGCCATACCACCCACACCCAATCCAGTATACTACCACTTCGAGTCCATGCACCGAGAGAATTACGACGGCATATCCGGACTACGATATCTTTGCAAACCACCGGAACATTTGGAAGATGAGGACCCGAACACTACGTCAGGTGGTAGATGGGTATATTACAACACCTTCACCGTCGAACTGGCTACATCTGGATACGACGACAGGTACTTCATGTTCGGCTTCTTTTGCCTACGTGATACGCTCGAGAAGGAAACACAAACTCGAGAGGCAGAATTCAAGGAACACATTCGCCCTTTTACCCTCAAACGTTCCGCAATCGACGCCACTGACCTGCTAAGTTACGATTTAATGGCCGCAGCTATTTGGGTCATCACAGGCGCATCTCAGATGTATCGCCTGGGCAACTCAGTCTTTGGAGAAGGGTTGGAGAAAGGTATCGCGGTGAAGACGGACTTTTGGAATGCAGAGCCGGGTTTTTCGTTGGGAAGATGGAATTTGTGGTGTGCGAGATTCAGGTGGTTTGCGAAACAATCGTTTGTGATGGACGCAGCGAGGGTGCAGTGTAAAGAGGCGGTTGTGGCGATCGAGAAGGCTTTGTTGACAAAGGTGGATTGATGGATTTGTGGAAATTCTGGAGCAATCTGGAGCAAGCAAAATGATGGGGTTCATCGTAAGAGCTCTGTGTATATGGGATGGTGTTGCTCGATGATGTGGGTGTCAGTCATAGAAGCAGCCTCGATTTCGACTGTGATTTGATGCATGGTTTTGGTTGAGTACACGAGGGTTAATGAAGCTTGTAGGCTTCCAAACGAATAGACTTCACGAGAAAACAGGCCCTCCGCCCACCTGCGGCAACGATTGGCTGTAGGCGAGGTTCTCGGGCGGCGGGCGCCAAGCCCGGAGACGAGCCACGAATGAAAAGGAATTTGATGCATCCTCGTAACTATGATTTCTGTTTTGAACTGTTCGACGCTCAAGCTTCTTCAATGGATGTGCAGGAGCCCAAGTCGAGACAGGACCCTCATATCTTCCATATTTTCTGTCTTTAGAACGTCTCGCCACACCGCAGTCATCGAGATGCGGTCTCTCAGTTTTGGTCCCTCCATCCGAATCCAGCAATAAACTTTTGGTAAACTGCCAGAAGCAGCGAGTGATAAAAAATAAGGAGCGCATAGTCTCGCGACCTTTATACACGCCCTCGTCGCAAAGTAGGCTCGTTCCAGCGACCAAGGTGAGGCATGAGTGACAAGAAGCGCGAGCGGCACATTCATTTCTGATACCGCAATAGTTTTCGCCAACATAAAAACACCCCGGTTGCGTTTTGGTATATCCACGGGACATGTAGCCAGCATGAAGCAGTCGCAGCAGACATTAATGTCTTTACCACCGCCTTCAGACATGCATGGTCCATGAAGACGTTTCTGTTCATGCAATGAATGAGACCGTACTTTTGCCGAAGACATGGGAACGTAGACGGGTTGTTTTAGTCCGCCGACGCCCATGTATTCTGCAAAGACGTTTTTCGAAAAGACTGGATCATGACGTGGCTCTCTGGCATTTTTCAGAAAAGGAAGAGAGACAGACATAGAAGCCTAAGGCAGGAGTTTCGATACTGGAAGCACATTGGACATGTCTATGGTAGTTTTTCAGTTTCCAGGGGAGGCGAGAGAACGTCATGTACAATCGTCTTTTGTTTTTTGGTAAAGGAGGAGACGCGGGAAGCATCTGACATGTCAAGCCATGTTTTGGTTCCCACTTCTCAAAGACGTGCGAGGAGAAGAGAAGGAGACCAGCCATAAATGCTTCAGGGTGGTAATTCGGCCAGGCGAACACATAATCCATTGATCTTTCTTTTTGGAAAACCCCAGGAGGAGTTGGAGAACACCATGTTGGACGTGTGTTCGATTTTCTTTTTGGGCGGGAGGAGAAGGCAGCAACCATGAGTCGCCGGTCTTCATATTTTGATCGCTGGCCCGGGAATGTTGTAGAGGAGAAGAGATACCGCAAAACCATAGGAATGATTGCAGGTGTGTTCTGGCAGACGGAGCACACATGCATAGGTAGGATGATTCTTTTGAAGTATCGAGAGAAGGCAGGCGAAGATACCATTCAAGTAACGGAAGTATGTTTTGCGAAGGAAGGAGGCGGGAGAAACATGTCAATTGTACTGGATCAATTTTGTTTGGGTATATTGGAAAGAGGAGGAAGAGACAGAGCACCCATATAGAATGCGATGTGGTTCTTTTTGGTCACCCCATCGTCTGAAAGGTGTAGTGTTTTGGAAGAACACAGAAGGATGTAATATGAGGAAGGAGAGAAAGAGACAGCATCGGGGAGGGTTTTATATGCATACAGCCAAGCTAGTCGTGGTCATGCACGTGAGTCCCCAAGTCCGCGCACCGTCCGCAATGCTTGCCGCGGGGGCCTTGAGCACCGTTCGCAACCATCTTCACCACGCTGCACAAACCACACTAACCAACAAGGCTCGGTAAACATAATGTTTTGCATCACGAAGTATCATGTCATTCCCACAACTATCATAGCACCATCTATACCCAGCAAAAAAACGCCACATATGCATTCATAAACCCCACCCTAAAAATATTCCATCGACCAGCAAGTGTTGAAGCCATGCCATGGTGATGTAAATGTAAAGACGCCAGAACACCCACGCTGGGGGGTGCTTGTTGAAGAAATAGGCCTATCCGATAGAGCCCCGCACCTTTGATGCAAAGAGGTAAAAAGAAAAGCCCGTGAAAGAAGGCCGAAACCCGTCGTGAGGGCGAAGGGGTTTAGGTCGGGGTAGGCGCAGCAGCACCCGTGATATCGCTATCCTCGCCCTCGACAGGCGCGCAAGTGCAGAAGAGGTTTGTGTCGCCGTATGCTGTCGTATCGTTAGTTTGCATCCTCACAACTCAAAGAACGGGGCAAAGACTTACCATCATCCAACCTCGCAACACTAGGCCAGAACTTCTTCGCCTTCAAGTAGCTGAGAGGATACGCCGCCTTCTCCCTAGAATAACTCCTCTGCCACTCTCCCGTGATAAGATCCTGTTGCGTATGCGGACTCATCTTGAGCACGTTACCCTCCTTGGGTTGTTGACCCTCCTCAACCTCCTTAATCTCCTTGCGAATACTAATGAGCGCGTCGCAGAAACGGTCTAGTTCAGCCTTACTCTCCGACTCGGTAGGCTCAATCATGAGGGTGTTGGCAACAGGCCAGCTCATAGTGGGAGCGTGGAAACCGTAATCTTGGAGGCGCTTGGCGATATCAATAGCTTCGACGCCGGCGGTTTCCTTGAAGCCGCGGACATCGAGGATGAATTCGTGGGCGCAGCGGCCTTCGTCGTTGGTGTAGAGGATGGGGTAGTGCGGCTTCAGGCGGGAGAGGATGTAGTTTGCGTTTAGGAGGGTGATCTTGGTGGCTTGGGTGAGGCCAACGGCGCCCATCATCTTGATGTAGGCCCAGCTGATGGGTAGGATGCTGGCGCTACCCCAGGGTGCGCCACTGACTGGGTGGATGGCTTGGGCGCCGCCGGTTTCGCCGCGGAGATGACCGGGGAGGAAGGGCGAGAGATGCTCTTTTACTCCGATGGGACCTACACCGGGGCCACCGCCTCCGTGGGGAATGCAGAAGGTCTTGTGAAGGTTGAGATGGCAGACGTCGGCGCCGATCTCGCCGGGTGAGCAGAGACCGATTTGTGCGTTCATGTTGGCGCCGTCCATGTAGACTTGGCCGCCGTGCTGATGGATCAGGTCGCAAGCCTCCTTGACGCTAGGCTCAAACACACCGAAAGTGCTGGGGTAGGTAACCATGAAGGCACCGAGCTCTTCGCTGTGCTTCTCGCACTTGGCCTTCAAGTCGGCCATGTCCAGGTTACCAGTCGCTTGGTCACACTTGATGGGTACAACACGCATACCGCACATTGCAGCACTAGCAGGGTTCGTTCCGTGGGCTGAGACAGGAATCAAGCAGATATCACGCTTCTTGCCAGGCTGCTGCTCGAGGTACTTGCGAATGACGCGGAGACCAGTGAACTCACCCTGAGCACCAGAGTTGGGCTGTAGCGAAACCGAGTGGAAACCTGTAATGTCGGCCAAGTCGTCTTCCAGCTGCTTGATCATGTCGGAGTATCCGGTGGCGCGGTCCAAAGGCAAGAAGGGATGCAGGTTGGAAACGGTATCGAACGAGACAGGTGCCATCTCTGCGGTGGAGTTGAGCTTCATCGTGCAGGATCCAAGAGGAATCATCGAGTGTACTAGAGAAAGATCCTTCGAAGACAGATGGTTGATGTAGCGAAGAAGCTCAGTCTCGGAGTGGTGCGAGTTGAAGACTGGGTGGGTCATGAATTCGCTGGTCCTCTTGAACGGCTCGGGAACCTCAATGTCGACGGATTCGGCAAAAGACCAGTCGTTCCGAGTTCCGTTAAACACATTCAATACCTTGTTGATGGTGTTTGCACCGGTGGTCTCATCAACGGAAATACCGACGTGATGGGCGTCGATCCTTCGTACGAATATCTCGTTCTTCGCGAGTGCGGAGATGATGGCGTCGGTCTTATCGCCTGTCTCGACAACGACTGTGTCGAACAAGACAGGTGCGTTGTCCATCTTTCCGCGCTGGCCAGTCTTGTAGCCATTGGCGATGAGCGCTTGCTGGATCGTGCGAGCCTTTGCAACAACCTGCTTGGCGATGGCAGTCAAGCCATTGGGTCCATGGTACACAGCGTACATAGCGCTCATGTTTGCCAATAGAGCCTGTGCCGTGCAAATGTTGCTAGTAGCCTTCTCACGGCGAATGTGTTGCTCTCGGGTCTGCAGCGCGAGTCGTGCCGCAGGGTTTCCCAACCTGTCCTTCGACAAACCGATCAGACGGCCCGGAATCTTGCGCTTGTACTTCTCGTCGCAGGCGAAGAAGGCCGCGTGCGGTCCACCATAACCCAGGGGCACACCGAACCGTTGTGCGTTTCCGAAGGCGATGTCGGCACCGAACTCTCCCGGTGGAGTAAGCAGTGTGAGGGCGAGGAGATCGGTCGCAACGCTGAAAAGCGCACCAGTCTTGTGCACCTTGTCAGCGAGTCCGCGGAAGTCGTTGACAGCTCCGTCGGTGTCTGGATACTGAGCGAGCACACCGACGAGATCCTGGCCCAGCTCCTCCACCCTCTTGCTGTTGTCCTTGAGCACATCCGCGACCTCAATCTTGATACCAAAGCCCTCGGCGCGCGAGTAAAGAACGGCGAGAGTCTGGGGATGGCACCTCTCAGACACGAGGAAAGTCTTGTTCTTGCTCTTCTGCTTGGACAGAGGCATCATGCCCATGGACATGGTCATGGCCTCGGCCGCCGCAGTAGGCTCATCCAGCACCGATGCATTTGCAATGCTCAGGCCAGTCAGATCCGAGACCATAGTCTGGAAGTTCAGCAGCGACTCGAGACGTCCCTGGCTGATCTCAGGCTGGTATGGGGTATAGCTAGTGTACCACGCGGGGTTCTCGAGGACGTTCCTCTTGATGACCTCCGGGACTTTGGTGCCATAGTATCCCTGTCCGATCAGACTCTTGCCCGGCTTGTTCTGGCTCATAATCTGCTTCGCGGTGTTGAGGAAGACGGACTCGGGCACACCGTGGGCCTGCCACTCCTCCACACTCAGCCCCTCGGACATGCTGCCAATCTTCAACTCGCGCGCCGACAGAATATCAGCGGGTATAACCTGGCGGACAAACTCGTCTAGACTGGCGACGGGCGGATCCAGGGCCTTGAGCATGGCTTCCGCACTCTCGGCAGACGGCCCAATGTGACGGCGGGGAAACGTGTCGAGCGCATCGAAGGGTCTCGCCGAGTCGGTCTGCTGGGGCGGGGTGTCGAATACATCGTCTGCGGCTTCGACGGCTGCGGCCGCCTGCTGTGCATTTGGCGCCTGCTGCTGGAACCCGCGCTTTTGGAGAGTTTGCAGGGTTTGGTATGCGATGGCGCGCGACGACGTGCCCGCGAGCTGGGGACGCGGTAGCTGGGCGACACACGACGATCGTGTGAGGCGGCTAGCAGTGCTAGCTGCCCTAATACACGCTGCGCGCATGTTGGCTGTGTGGTTGCAGTGATGCTACGGGGAGTCTCCCCAGGAAGCAAATATTTTTTAACAGAGAGATTAGTGTGCTGTTGAGCGAGTCCTGTGCGAGCAATTGGCCCGATTGCTCAAAAGTCTGGGAGGCTCGCCACTGCAGTGGTGGTGACGTTGGCGGGGGGAAACGCGTTCAACACCCACAACCCAGGGAAATGCAAAGTGAGGATTTGCAAGGGAAGGAAGAACTTGGATCGCGAAACCTCAAGACGCTCAGATTGACAGCGGTGACAGCGCGCCTTCATTCATTGCTATCTACACTCTAACCCGTCATTATCCGCGCCGTTGGTGATAAGCTGACCCTGGCCAAGCTAGCCGACGCGTGCCACTAAACCCCAAGCCGACTGTCCTTGCATCCACACGCATTCCTAGCACCCATTGGGCAAAACTACGCTGACCACCGCTGCATTCTATTACTTGATATCCACATAACCCGCATCTCAGTCCTCTCCGCGTGTTCTGGGCACGGTTCAACCACACTAGATGCTCGCCCGTCGCGGTGCCATTGTCCGTCGGAGATTCTTTTCTTTCTCCGTCTCTTCGGTCACGGGCAGGATTCCTTGCTCGCGGAGCTGCGCTAGGTACTCTTTGCCTGTGCATCGCATTAGCAAAACATTTTCAAAGCCAAAGATTGCGTCGTCACTTACCGTATTTGTACCCCACCTCGTAGATCTCTTCGAATTTCGCAAAGTCAAGCGTGCCATACGGATCGATTGGCGGCCGCATGTACCTGCATCCCGGCGTATTCTTCGCCCGCTCCAGCGCATCGATACTAGACACATATGCGAGGCGCGACTGGATCTCCGATAACGTCGGGGGGTTGGGGAAGCTAGAAAATGGATTCCACCGATTGAACGTCGCCCAGAAACCACTCAATGAGTCACCGAATGACTGCGGCGCGTTGTCGTCGAGACTGCCTACGTCGACCGCGAAGATGACGTCTGCACCGAGACTCTTCATATGCGTGACTGTCAGGTTGTCGATATAGCCACCATCCAAGAGCATGCTGCCATTGTCACACAGCGGAGGAAGTAATCCTGCAAGTGACATGGATGCGCGGACGTAGCGCCAGACGTATCCACTCGTGTGGATTTCCGAACGCGACTTACTGATGTTGGTGGTGTTGCAGTAGAACTCGAGCCAGAAATCTTCCATCTGGGAGTTTCCGAACGTTTTAAAGATACCGCGGTTGAACTCATGGCCGGTTGTGTACGAAGCGCTATCGAAAGTTAGCTTTGGAGTTCGTGTGGATATCTAAACTTACGAGGGGTAGGTAAGATCGAGTGCAAACCTCCACATGCTGCCCATGCGACCGGCAAACTTCTTCGCGCGACCGTACATAGGAACAACATCTGCATCCCAAGCATACAGTGCACCTATGAAACTACCAATAGATGTGCCGCCAACGATGTCGATTGGAATGCCAGCTTCTTCAAGTGCACGGATGATACCAATTTGCGATATACCACGAGCACCGCCACCGCCCAAGACAAGCCCAACTGAGCGACCGCACAGACGTCGTGCGAGGCGATGGAAGTCACCCTTGAAGGGCGTGTCTGCCGAGTAGAGCGGCGTCTGGCGGACCTTTCTTGATGTGTACTTCTGGATCTCAGCCTGAATGACTTGCACTCGTTGTTTGAGCGCATTTCCAAAGCGTCGCCCGGCGTGATGAACTGGCTCCGAGGTTGCGCGGAATGACATTTGGATATGGTGATGGCTGCCATTGATCCAAGGGCGGTTGCGCAGCCACTTCCGCGTCAGACCTGACGGACAGTATCTCTCCGAATGCAAAAGCACTAGCTCTTTGCGTGCAGTCGTTTTCGTTGTCAAAAGGAACCGCTCGTACTCGCCAATGTTTGGGGAAGATTCAGCTAGACCCACAAGGAGAATGCAATCGGCCTGGTTGATACACGTCTGGGTCCATGGCGACTTGACTGGCGTGTCAGCGACATAGATGACCATGCCATATCTTTCCTCCAAATCAGCGAGGTATTGCGAAAGCTTAAGTTTGCCCATGCGGCTGAAGGCATGTCGTCCGAGATGATTCAGAATGGCAGCCTGGTTAAGAGAGACCACACCCTGTGGCATGCCAATCTGCGTCAACGCGTTGACCAAGCGACTTCCAAAGTCCACTACCGGAATTCCAGCAGTCACCGGAAGTACAGCGACGGTGCGCAGATTGACTGTTGAAGACACATTTGCGCGTGTGGCCTTCGTTCCGCGTTCTTTACTTTGTTCATGAAGCGGATCATCAACCAGTGCTCGCATGCGGGAGGCGATGATCTTTGAGATCTTGATCGTGATGCCAGGATGTTCTAGTGCCAGACTGTTAAATAGCGTCTTCGGAAACTTCGCAAGCTCTGTATCTCGGATGGCATGTAGTGAACCCGGTCGTGATGATTCTGTGAGCACTTCGAGTTCACCGACGCTGTCACCTTGTCCGTATTCACCAATGACCTTTACGGCGCTGTTCTCGGCGTCGCGGATGGCGCGCAATCTTCCGTTCAAGACGATGTAAATAGCATCGCTCTCATCTCCTTGGTTGTAGATCACTTGACCTGCGTTTACTTGAACCCATTCCAAAGCGAAATCGATATGCTGGATCAGCCTTGGTAGAAGAGTTGTAAGGCGTTTCGCGATTGTGAGCAATACAACTGGGTATCGTTCGACGATCCGCTCAATTGCGGAGCGGGGCAAAAAACCTACGTAGACATCGGTTTTGGCTGTGACATCGACGAAAGATCGGTTCGATGACACCGCTCCAAGATAACCAGCTAGTCCGCCAGGCTTGGTCATGAACAGACTCCGTCTTGTGCGCTTCTTCTTCGTACCATCGGCAGCAGTTCGCGAAGGGGTACTCGATCCTGGTGGGCGGGACGATGGACCGAAAAGGTCATCTTCAGTGTAGCCTGGCCCATTAGGGAGGGTTCCTAGTACGTTGGATTCAGGTGCGTCTTCTTCCACAGGCACGCTTACGTCCAAGAACCCATCAATGACGTAATACAGGCCGGGATTCCTCTCTCCCTGTTCCACAAGCACAGAGTCTTTGGGGAAGAAGACAATTTCCACATCATTGACGATCTCTTCCAGGATGTTGTGTGGGCCAGCAGCGCTCATACTGGATATTCCAGAGGCTGATGCTATAGACTCGGTGTCTCCATCCTTGGAGCCCGCGTATGGGTCCATGAAGCCAAATGCATTCGTGAACACAGCCTTCTGTCTCCTGGCGTCGAAAGAAACGAGTTGAGGTGACTGCTCCACTGACGCGGTTGGCTTAGGCATGGGGTTCTCTGGGTTGATGAGTCCGATAGCCTTGAACATACATCCCAGTATAGACTCCCTGAACACAGTAGCTTCATCGATAGATTCTTGTCGGTGCAATGTTTTCGGGCGTAATGAGGGAGATGCGAAAGGATTGAAGTTGCTTGCGTCCAGCGGTGTACGATTGTCTCGCCGTTCCTGTTGATGTTGGTAAGGTTGTGAGAAGCTGCTGCGGCCACTCCGACCGGTTCCCCGTGCCATTTGCGAATTGGTCAACAGGTCACCTGCGCTGATTCGATCGTTGCGTGGTCCTTGATCTGGGGAAGTGATTTTGGGTAATGCTTCGTTGTTTGCGTTGGCGTTGGCCCCACGAGCGGCGGCAAGGCGTGCTTGCGCAGCGGTTCCTCTCCTAAGGGAAACGCTGGACCTTCGTCGTCGGCCGGCGCCGGGGTTGTGCAATGCGATACCCTTCATGCCTTCGTCCGAGCCAATGCGCTCCGTTTCCTTCGCAAATTTCTCCTTTAGTCGCTCGAGCGGAGCATCACGCAGAAAGCCAGGAAGATCGTATGTAGTATACTTATTCATGAGCTTCTCCGTGCGGAGGACCTCATTCGTCAAACTGAGATAAGCATGGCTGGTTGCGAGCGTAACTCTTTGAAGGCGCGTAAGGATGACCTGAACAATGTGCGCCGTTGCTTTGGGGTATATACGCGTCAGTCGACGAAATGCAGTGGCTGGGATTATAGCGATGGTTGTGTCTACGGTCGCACGCGCGACAATGTCTGGGTGGGCAGATTTAGGCTTCGCAGGGCGCGAAGGTGATCCTCGAGTTTTGCTGTGCTTGAGTCGCTCATCACCAAGTCCGTCTAGATCCAGCGACAGAGGCGGCACAGCTTGAAGGCGCCCACCTGCTGTTGGACTGTTCAGAGTCGATGTTCTTCGATGCCCGAACTTGGCCTCAGGGACTTGGTTTGGTGTGTGCGGTCTTGAATCGTCGAATGCAAAGCTACTGTTCCGTGACATAGATGGCCTTACATCCTGTTGAGGCGATCCTGGGAAGCTTGGACGCGTGTCCTCATCTTCGTCATGACGCAGCTTCACATCTTCTGTGAACAGAGAGAGAATGGAGAACAACGAAGACATTGGGGCTCCGTTCTTGACTTCAGTAAGAAGCTGATAGCCCTGCCGATGGCCCTGGGTCGCGCCGTCTCCGGATGACTCCCCTCCCATGTCATCCTCATCGGAGTCTGAATCATTCCGGTTCGACTTGACAAAGATCTGGACCAAGCCATCTACTACCAGACAAAAGCCTTTCTCTTCTTCCAAGAGGATTGTCTCGCCAGCCACCAACCGACGGGTCTGCATAGTGCGTGTTAGTTCATGGAAGACTGGGCGCTCCAAGTAACCGAACACTTTGATTGCGCTCAAGAATTCATCCAAGTAGTTGGACAAGCCGCGCTTGGAGTCATTTTCGGCGCTGTCGGGAAAGACTTCGACCTGTGGTTCTTCACGCTGCGGTTCAGGCGGTAGTCGTGCGTACATAGTCATGTATCGATACCTCACGAAGTAACTGACGGTAGACACGACAAAGACGACGACGAGCATCCTACAAATGTTTAGCTAAGATATGTGTTGGAAGTTGACAACGTACAGAGTTGTGAAGTTCATGGTGAAGGTCAGGCTCATAGAGAAGAGCGTGAACAGCCATGTCGGCAGGGTATAGGTAATCCAGTACAAGACGGTGGGCAGGACACTGAAGATGGACAGAATGACACGGCCCAATAGACCAAAGCTGGTCGACGGCGTGGTATCAGCAGGCTTCATGCCGAGTACAGAGTTGGAGAGGGCCTCTGCTGTGTTATACACTGCTGCTTTGGAAGCCTCTGCCAGTGACCGAGAAGTGGCAGTTCCCGGGACTGCCATGGTGGCCATGGTGGGCGAGGAAAGATCGGTGCCGAATTCGGACCGTCACGCGTCAATATTTCCAGACGTTTCTAGAGTTGCTAATCTAGGGCGGTAAAGACAGGAATCCCATGATGTGCCGTGCTGCGGGCACGTTGAAATCCGCGGGTATGTACTGGGGGCGCTTGCATGTGGGGTGCCACTGCCAGCTTGTGAAAGGCCGGGCCCGTGCATCGACTAGCGCGGAAGTCGCGAAACTCCACCGCGGCCTGGAGCTCTCACTCGCGCGCCGGAGCTTGTAAACATCACCCATTGCGCCACCATGCCGCCCTTCAAAGATGACCAGATAATCGTGAGTCTCACGTGCACCCGACGCTCGGCATATGCGCTAACCGCCTTAGATCATTGCGCCGGGCTCCGAGACGACCGTCGCGCAGCTGGGGCTCCCCGAGTCTTTCACGCCCGCGCGTCTTCGCGTGAGATCGCGCATGTTCCCCGCAGGGAAGGAAGGTGAATTCGAGCCCTACAAGATCCGGAGAAAGCAAGACCAGCCGACCGCGACGAATGGCGACCCCACAGACGAATCGCAGGAAGAAAAGAAGCCTACCGAGGGCGACGATGATGTAGTGTGGGAAGAAGACCGCGTTTCTGAGGAAGGCGCGATATGGCCTATTCAGCAAGGCCGCATCGTTGACTGGCCATGCTTCTTTGCCCTCATCACCCACACCTACAACTCTCTGAACCCGCCCTTCCATACCCCGATCCTCCTCATCACGCAACCGGCATGGACCCCGCGGGAGCACGAGAAGCTCACCCAGTTCTTCTTCGAGAAGTTCAAGGTGCCTGCTTTTGGGCTCATGGACGCGGCATTGGCAACAACATGGGCATACGGTGTACACACAGCGACAGTGATAGACGTTGGCAAAGACAAGGCAGACATCACCGCTGTCAGCGAGTTCATCCCGCACACTCAGGGTCGCGTCATCTCACTGGAGGGATGTGGAGGCGAGGCCTTTACCCAAGGGCTCTTGTCTAAGCTCAAGTCGAAGGGTCTCAATCGCGACATGTGCGAACAACTCAAGAGATCACCCATCTGCGAACTTCTGCCCCCAGGAGTTCCGCTACCAGGGCCAGGAGATGCGGCTACCAAAGACGCAGCGACCAACCCTGCAGCGCTCGCATCAACGGGCGCCACCGGTCCTGGCGCAGCAGCAGCCGCCTCCATCGGAAACGTGCCACGAGGGCCTGGTATCGATACGGAAGTCGGCGAAGACGCGAGTCTTGAAGAGAGTGAAGGTGTTTTGGATGTCGCAAGCATCGTCGCTGGCGGCAAGATGTCTGAGTACCTTGCTAAGAAGGAGAAGGAGAAGCAGGAAAAGGCCAATGCGAAGAAGAAGGGTGGTCCGGCTCCAGCAGCCAACAAGCCGGTCAGGTTACCCAACTCCCGACTGGAGAAGGCTACATTCCTTTACGAAGATCACGCGCTTCTGGACACTTTGAAGAACATGAACCTCAATACCCAGGAGATGGCAGATGCGAAGGGCGCTCTGGACGAAGGACCAAACAGGAAGGGACAAGAGAATGGGGAGAACGGCGAGCCTACGTCCGCAACTGAAGCGAACGGCACCAGCGAATCTGGTGCTACCGGCAAACGCACAGGATCGATAAGACGTGAGATCGAGGTTGGCACCGAGCGATTCATGGCAGATGGTGATGGTACCCTGGAGAAGATTGCAGACGCTGTGCACAGAGCTATATCGTCCATCGACGAGGTTGGCAAACGAAGTGATCTATGGGAACAGCTCATCGTCTGCGGTAACGGTTCAAAACTACGAGGTAAGTCATGTACCATGTTTCAGCAATCGTCGTGCATCTACTGACATCTATGCAGGCTTCAAAGAATCACTCCTCCAAACCATCCAGACTAAGTATCTGGTCTCGCCCTCCTCCGCCACAATCTTCACATCCGAGATCCCATCCAACGTGTCAACACCCATGGGAACCGGCGCGAACACACCACAGCCCCAACTTGGCCCGCACGGCGGCTCCCAAGTCAACCCGCTCCTCCTTGCAGCTACAACTGCTCAGACACAACATATGATGCCACACGGAGGCATGCCTGGCATGGGAGGTAACACCCACTCATCGCACGGCCAAACACCCACATCAATCAAGTTTATCAAGCCGCCGGAGTACTTCCCCGAGTTCAAAGACGTTGGTTTTGATGAGTCAGCCTTCTTGGGCGCTCAGGTCGCAGCCAAGGTCATCTTTGTTGTCGATCAGGGTCAAAGTAAGGGTTACATGACCCGTCCCGACTACAACGACCAGGGTCCACAGGGTATCCACGATTACAGCCTATAATCCGAGATTTTGGTACTTGGATTACGAAGTCGGCTTTGATAAGCAAGGCCTTGTGTTACTTTTGCAACGCAGCCATTTTGTGGAGTTTAGGCACGGTTTATGGATATCCCGGCGTTGCCAAAAAGGAAAGCCTGGGGTCAAGTTTGATGAAACGAAATAGGCGATTGTAGCGATAGGCTAGCGGCGCATTGCGAGATGCAACCTCCAAATCCTATTTTCATTACCATCTACCCGTCCCTTTCTTTCTTTTTCACTCGTCAACTCTGTGGGAGTGAAACGCCCATCTCGTTTCTTCTGATGGTTCGCCATCGGAGTACGCCGATAGCCCTGGGGGCTCCGCTCCGCTCCCCACGTGCTAGGCATTAGCGAGTGGCTAACCGGATCTAGCCGTCCTTACGGCTGGCAACTGATAAAGGTCGCCAGTGCCACTCGATTTATATTGCTCTTGTCTTGATTGTCTTTTTGTTCGTTTTGCCAACTCTCTGACATTCACCGGGTTTGTGAAGTATAAGTTTATTTCGACAACCGCCCTCTTTACGAAATTCTACACTAGAGGCTGCAACTCGGTACCTGCTCCGATCCATTGCCGCGGCCAGAACACGCCTTCACATCCACGGAACACAAACGCGAAACTTGAACTTTAAAAGGTGGAATTTTGACGAGAAGGACAAACCTACATCATCATGGCAGCCTCATCACCCATATTGCATACGGTTTACGTCGGCCCCTTCGTCCACAGCGAATCGCTCTCAACACTCGAGATCCAGGAACGCGGCGCCATCTTCGTCGACTCTGACGGCATAATTCGTTATGTCGAAAAAGACATCCAAGAAGGCGACCTCCCCAATCTCATCCAACAGAAAGGCGACTCATGGACAGACGCGAAGATCGTCGAGATAACCGGCACTGGCTTCTTCTTCCCCGGCTTCATAGACACCCACGTCCACGCACCCCAACACCCAAACACAGGTCTCTTCGGCAAAACTACATTACTAGATTGGCTCCAAAAATACACATTCCCCATGGAATCCTCCTTCTCGAAACTCCCCCTCGCCCACCGCGTCTACCAAAACTTCGTCTCACGGACCCTATCCCACGGCACAACAACAGCCGCGTACTACGCCACCATCCACGTCCCCGCCACCAACGCCCTCGCAGACATCTGCCTAGCGCGTGGCCAAAGAGCCCTAGTAGGCCGCGTATGCATGAACAGCGATTTAAGCCCCGAGTACTATCGGGACTCAAGCACAGAAACAAGTTACGCAGACTCAAAAGCCAGTATCGACTACATCCGCTCCATCGACCCCAAAGGTGAAATCGTAAAACCCATCATCACACCACGTTTTGCGCCGAGTTGTACCCCGGATTGTCTCACTGCTATGGGGAAACTGGCGAAAGAGACAGATACTCATGTGCAGACGCACATCTCGGAGAACAAAGGCGAGATCGAACTCGTCAAGGAATTATTCCCTGATAGCAAGAGTTACGCAGATGTATACGATACCCACGGCCTGTTAACAGACAAAACCATCCTAGCCCACGCTGTCCATCTCACCCCCGAGGAACGCAAGTTAGTCCTACAGCGCAAGAGCAAAATATCGCATTGTCCTGCGTCAAATACGGCGATCACATCGGGCTGTGCGCCGATCCGCGATTTACTCGATGAAGGTCACACTATCGGCCTTGGGACGGATGTCTCGGGTGGTAACTCGCCGTCGGTATTAGAAAATGTGCGGCAGGCGATATGGGTGTCGCGGCATCTGTGTATTCAGACTTCGAAAGATAAAGCGAAGCTATCGACGGAAGAGGCACTGTTTCTTGCTACAAGAGGAGGTGCGGCGGTGGTGGGGATGCAGGATAAGGTCGGCGGGTTTGAGGTTGGCATGGAGTGGGATGCGCAGATGATTAGTCTGGGGGTTGTGGGTGAGGATGGTTGTCGCGATGGGGCGTTTGAAGAGGGGCCTGTTGATGTATTTGGGTGGGAGAGTTGGTCGGATTTGGTGGAGAAGTGGGTGTATAGTGGGGATGATCGGAATACCGTGGCTGTGTGGGTGAAGGGGAGGCTGGTGCATAGGACGGGGAGGTTTGCTGGGGCGGAGAGGGTTGCGACGCCCTAGTATGACGTAGATGTCATACAGCTCAAAGTTCGAAAATAGCGATATCTCTTGAGACCTTGATCCTATGGCTATTCTTTATAACCCATTTCTAGTTCAGTCGTCGATCAACGTCACCCCAAACCGAACTTCGTCTTTAGACCACCCAGTGTTTAGAACCTTTGCAAGCATCTCGCCGATGTCCATAAGTTGTCTCCTCCTCTCAACAAGTTCGAGGAACGTATACATCGTACGACATGCATGCCGCAGCAGTTTCATAGCTAAGTCCTCTGGAGAGATGCTGTAGTCGATCTCTATATCCTCAGCATCGTGCGCTAGCCCATGTAAAGCGTACACTTTGTCCAGAACGTTCGTGGCTTCCTGATGACGATATGTCTCTAGCAGACTCATTAAGCATGTGGGTTGGCGTTCACCAGGGCCGCCCGTTCTATGAAACTGGTCATCTCGCTCAGCCTTCGCGAAAACTATGATTGCTGCCGGAGACTCAAGAAGAGTCCGAGGTAAGCGCAAGTGACTTCCCGTGAAGTGATGATACCACCCTCGTACTTGACTGGCCAGGGCCCATAGAGTCCCCAACTCAGTACGCATATTGCCACACCATATCGTGCAATGTCTTGCGAACATAATCTCTTGTATGATCCAGACTCTACGCCAGTATCTTTTGTCGCATAATTCGATAACCACTGTTGCTTGTAGTTCGGTACCAAATTCCGCCTCTTGTTCTACGAGGAAGGGATTGGGTGTGCGCTCTATGAGGAACCCCATGCCGTGGTTCAGATAGGACAAGTCGTAGAAATCGCCCAGCCAGATGGAAACTGACTCGGCATTGCGGTATATCCGGCGCATGATCGAAATCTGATAGCTTCGTTCGTATTCGTTGCTCTGATTGATACAGATAGCATCAATCCAGTACATACCATACTCCTGTTGCGACCGCATCTCTTCTAGGAAAGTCCATAGATTGCGACCAACTGCGAAGGGCACACCATTGAGTTCGATATCAATGGAAGCGATGACTGAGCCCCATGTGTACGATAATGCAGTGAAATCTGGCAGTCTCGATTGAAGTGAGTATACTCGGAAGTTGCATTTGATGGGGTCGGAGAGCCTGCCAGGTCGGAGTTCCAAGAGCCTGAACTCCTGGCTATGTGTATGGAGCGGCAACGAGCGGTAAGGATTCTGGTAGGGGGCGGAAGGGTCGTTCATAATCGTAACTTCCACTAAAGCTGGACTACCTTGCGCAAGTCTTCCCTGCTGTCCTTGAGGCATTAGTGACAATGACTGAATACCTCTCAGGTATACTTCAGAGTGAGACATCATACAAAACGCAAGGTACTCTAGAATGATCGCGTCAACCTAGCCGGTGCATGCGACGGCACATCGCCAGGCACCTGTGCAGTATGCTGGGAACAGTACTTCCAGGTGACGAATGTCGCACGGATTCAGAAATGAATTTGGCGTCGTAGACTGAGATGATATACTTGGACGGGTGAAGATAGCACGTATCCTTCGGGCGGGGCAGTAGCGATACAATGCGGGGATACATGCCTCCTGCAGCTGAAACGATGCATTTCAGCCGCAAATGCCACTGGTGGTATCATGCCAGCATGTATTGTGTCGCTTCCCAGATGCGACACAGCGATCAGGCTGAACCGAAACTCCCAAGTAGGTTCAATTGCGACGAAAAGCTTATCCAAGCATCGCGCGAAGAACGAACGTCGGAAACCTGGTTGTCAGAGGAAGGAATCAGAAATGGCTTCGACAAGGAGATTAAAGTGGGGCCGAGCTTGGGCCCCATGAAGTCCTCCAGCTGCACGCACCGTCGCAAGCACGAATACACCACAATCTAACATGAACGCAGTGCATGTCAGAATATTCAACCTGAGTGTAGGATCGTGTTTGGCTCCTTGCGTATTGTGCGTAATGACTTGAATTGGAAAGATAATATTTTCTCATTTCTTCAACCCAAGCTCCATCAACGCCTTCTTACCCTTCGTACCCTCCTCTTCCCACCACAACCCTCTTATCTCCAGCCCAGCCTTTCCAAACAAGTCCTTCCACTGCGCCTCAGTGCGTTCCGAAGAGCCCAAGTTCATCATCTGCCAGTCCATCTTGGCATCGAAGTGCACAACCTCCGTCTCCGTTTCCGGCAGAATGACCTCGTGAATTAACACCACACTATCCTCAGCCATTGAGTTGACAATATTCGTCAGGATGGTAAGTGCTTGCATCTCGGGCCAGTCGTGCAGAAGCATGCGCAGGTAGAAAGCCTTGGCGCCCTTGACAACCGGTGGGAAGGGATCGAAGAAGCTGTGTCCAACCGTTACAACGCCATCGGGCAGACCTTTAGCCTGCGCGATAACGCTCGGAAGATCCAACAGCATGCGTACACCCGGCAAGCCTTCTGCACGCTCGCAGAATTTTACTACTTGATGACCTACGCCGCCACCGACATCGACGAACAGAGGGCGCGAGGGTTCGGTAATGGCGAGGCGCTCCTTGACCGGGTACGATTGCACAAACTTGTTGTGCTCACCTGGCTTTACCAGCGTCATCGTTTCGTTGAATGCGTCGAACATTTTAACGTTCTCCGGCTTGTTCATAAAGTCGAAGTAGGTCTCACCTTTGCAGCCATAGGCGAAGCAGAAGGGGCTGTCGCGCGCGTCTACGGGGTGCTGGTACCCGTTTGCGGCGAAGTAATCTGGGAACTTGACGGCCGAACGGAAGTGGTAGTGGAAGTGGATGATCGCGCTGCGAAGAGGCGCGCCCTTTGCTATGGCACGGCCGAAGGTAGTTGGGGTGTAGCGTTGTGGAGTGTCTGCTGTCGAAGTGAAGACTTCGGGTACGAGCATTTTGAGGATGCGGTCTTGACGGGATCAGTAAGTCAAAGCTTGTGATATTTTGGATGGGAGAAAGCTTACTGATTAACCTGAGGTCTGCTTTGCTCTTCTCTGCCAGCTCGGCGGCGGTGATGGGCCCATTGTTTGCTATGGCGATGTCGACAAGGTTGAGGTCAACAGCCAGTATGGTCACGATTGGATCGTAGATTGCCTGACACGGTTAGCCTTTTCTTAGGGTGTAGTGCATGTATGTGCCGGATGTAGGATGGATATCAACATGGAAAGACGCACGAAGAAATGACGCAGAAACTTGTCCATAGGTGTTTCCAGGGCTTGTGTGAGTTTCTCAGAGGCCTGCAGTAAGGCGAGCCGGTCAGCCTCCTCGAGACCTGCTGGCCCCTTACTAGCAAGAGCGAGGATATCCTGAGCGAGTGTCATGTCCGATGTTGTGTTTATTCTCCTTTGGGGTGGAAGATGGGTAACTTTGGCAGTTTCTTTTAGGCCTGCAGCCGCTTGAAGCAGTACTTATGCCAACGCGCTCGGTATGTATCTTCAACTTGATCGACAGCAAAGAGACAGCTGTTCCAAGTAGACCACGAGTCTATACGGTACGGCCGTAATTGACATGCCCTACAACTTTTACCAGACTTGGACTATCTATCGTAAATCGCGGCGAAAGCAGCCTCGCGCCTAACGTGCTCACACTATGCCAAGTGTACCAATTCATCAAACCTACCGCAATACATGTGCAGATACTGTGCCCATACTCGTCTTGTAATGCACCGATTTTATGAATGCACCGAGTGCGCGAATGTACCGAGAATAGAAATAAGCCGCATGTGACGAATGTACCCAGACCGATACTACTTGTAGGAAAAATGTTTATACAATAGTACTAGATCAGCTCTCCATGCAGACGAAGCGCATGCCGTATGAACTCGAGGATGTTCGCCAGAACACAATGCCATGTTCGAATCATCTTACGGAGAAATTTGAGTCCGCACGTGCCAATAGCCCCACCTGCACCTTCCCGAGGTCCTCTAATCCAAACACACGACAAGTTGATTCTTCATGAAACACCCAGCCTCATGTGTTTACTATTCACGAAATAGACGTAGTAGTTGCTCCCGCAAACGTGGAGTCTGCATTACGCGATAGATGATTGCGAACAATCCTACTTCGGTTCGCAATGTCCGATTTGACCCACCACTTGCTGGCCGCCTCAGGGTCAACACTCATATACGCGTATTCCGCAAAAATGATTGTACGATGTTCGTACCTACGTATAGTATAACAGGCGTGATGTGCAGCTCTTCGATCAACTGAGAAACCGACCATTTACATTCATTTTGTTACGCTCTCTGTTTTTTTCTATCTTCATTGTCACTCGTTTACACCACCGCCATGGTGAACTTCAATTCCATCATCGCATTTTCAGCTTTCGGTCTGGGTGCGCTGGCACACCCAACCATCAAGCACATCGACCGTCGCTTTTGTTCGCTCGAACAGCGCAGCGTCTTCGCCCGGGCGGAAGATCCGACTTCACCCGCACCAATTCCCAAAGCGACGACATGGAACCCGCCTTCCGACATGGTCACCGGTCTAGACCAGGTATGGAAGCAGACCATGAAGGAGAACCCTCAAGGTCTTCAGGACAAGAACTGGATCATTGATCAGATGATGGCCAACAACGGGAGTATCAACTACTGCGTCCGCTGGAACCACTCGGGTAAAAGCACTGCGAGTGCGCGCGCATCCACCGTCAAAGCTTTGCAGCGCTCGATGCAGAAGTGGTTTGACGTACTCGTTGGATTCGAAGGATTCCCGCTTACTGAACTCAATGTTGACGTTGTCGGCTACGCTGTCAAAGACAAGAGCCTCATCGAAGGTGATGTTACTGGGCTAGACATCTACACCACAACCGATGGTGATGGCGTACCCGAGTGCGATACTCGCTGCTATCGCGCCGCTCATTTGGATGGCGACATGAGCCAATGCCCTGGTGGTGAGGCCAGCCGCTACGACATCAGCCTCTGGCTTGATGAGAGTCTCGAGGGCCAGATGGGTGGCTATGGATACAACTGGGGAGAGGAGATTGGTCCGGACTACTTCCTCAACAACATCGACCAGGACAATATTCACATCTTGCTCCACGAGATGGGCCACGGCTTCGGTCTTCTAGGTATGCTGTGTACGTATTCCGTCATGTTCTGTGCTAACTGCGTGTCAGACTTCTACGATTGGGTACCGCAAGGTCAGACCAACTTCATCATGATGGCCGGTAGCGCCATGGAGATCACCGAGTTCGATGCTTGGATGCTGAGGGATTGGTGGAGGAAGTTGAAGGCAGAGCGCAAGTGGTAGGCTACTACGTTCGTGAGATGTCGGTACCCTGCGCATGGATACATGTTTAAACTTCTGCGGTAGGGTGATGACTGTGAGGTCTGGTGAAATGGTTTTGTTTCGTTCTTCTGTACATATGTTATCGGTTTGGTGTGCGAAATAAGTTCTGCTGCTAGTCATGGCCGATCTCGAGAAATCGTTGAATCGGATGATCAAACTAGATGAATTTTTGCAGCGTGCCGATATTTTTGCGTGAAGGCCTCTCCGTCCATCAACCCGTAGACGAAGCAGTCACCTATCAAGCGAAAGCTATCACCCGCTGGCGTATTGTTAGGGTCTGAGACATCTCCATCACCATCTGCAGTGACTACTTCATCTTTCCGGACGATGAACGGCACATTTCCGCCCTTGAAAACATGCACTCTATCGCCCACGACGGTCGTTCTTGGGCCAATGCCCATGTATCCAGATTTGGTAAGGAAAAAACGTCGGGACGCTGTCGCAGTTTTGAGAGCGTGATGTACTCCAGATATGCCTTCATCAAGGTCGCGCTGTGAAAACGAAGCTGTTCGAGAGAACGTGTCTCGTGAGATGCATCGAGACCACATACTCCACGCCCTATAGGACTCGTAATCGTCTTTTGTAGCTCGGCGATAAGAGCTCTTCGTATCGCGAGTATTCGGAGCAGTACCCGTTCGTATCAAATCCCCGACCAATGTCCGCCAAAAGACATCCTGATATAGCTCACCAGTAGGATATGGCTTTGAGTCTTGCAGGAATAGATTAGTGAGCAGCTTCCAGGACTTTATGACGGCGCATGTATCGCTGATCTGTGTATGTCGACTAACCTCACCAATAGTGGACACGTAGTCGATGTACACAGCCTCAAGCTCTAGTGCATTGTTCTCCGGATGGTACCGAACTGGGCCTTCACGGTTACCGCTTGCGTTGTACATGTTCAATGAGCCGACTCTTTCTATTTCGACCGGAAGACATGGTAGCGACCAGTCCATTACCCAAGAAGGAAGACCTTCAAGACGTTTGCGATTCAGGACAGCTTCAAGGTCTCCTGCAAGGACTGAGAGCGATCCTGTTCGTCGTAGGTTGCCCCAAGTCGTTCGAGTGAAGATTTTCGTCGCATCGCTATTGTAATCGGGAATCAAGGCTGGCAAGCCTTGCCAGTCCGTAGTCAATCCGAGGAGAGCAAAAACTTTGTCTCGTTTGTCAGTCGCCTGTAGGGGTCGAAACTTCCAAAGCAGATCCAGCAACGTCGCGTTTTCGGAGCTACTCTCGTGACAACGTCTTGTCTCTTCGATTCGAAGCACGAAGTTGCTGAACTGATCCAGTGTGTCTTGCCCATAGAGCGTCCCAGCCAGATCCAGGCACAAGGTGTGACGCTGCCGGACATAATTAACGGCGGCGCTAGCGAACATTGACCAGGGGGCTGAAAGCATGCCGTAATGTACCGTGGCGTTTCTCGAGAGTACGGTCTCTTGGATGACCCAAATGCGCTGCCACTGCCAGTTCTATTGTCAGTTCAGACCAAATGAAGGCACTGTGGATAATCACCCAAGCCCTGTCCATCAATCTCGCGAGACCGTGCCATACCCTAAGAGACTGTGACCCATGCCAACGGCTGTTTGTCGCAATCAGGCCATGTCTCCTAGGATATTCGATGCGTTCCGATATAGTGGCTTTGTTGCGATCCAGCAACTTGAGTAGAGGGTACGAAATGTCTTCGGCAAAGTCCTGGATTAAACAAAACGCACCAAGAATATCCGGGCCTGTGTTCGCCGCGGTTGTGTCTGCCAATGCGACCAACGGTGCTACATTACATGTGTGCTCAAAATTGAGCATAAACTCCCGGCGCACGTCGCTGTCTCTGGAATCACCTGTCCACGCTATCTCGGAAGCATTGCCTTTCAAAAAGCGGGAGCCAATATCCTCACCGAGCGTTGGTTCGCCAAGCCATATGATCGTCTCGCGACTGTTGCTGTATATATCACCCATTAAGCCAACTTGTTTAGTTCTCTCCGAAGCATCTGCTTGGTTGATACACAGCGCGTCCGCCCAGAGCAGAACCTCATGGTCAGGTTGTCGAAGTTTGCGCAGAGCCGTGGAAAGATTCTCAGAGACAGAAACAAGTTTCCCGTTGCACGTTATCAGAACCTGGCGAGCGACGCCTTCGGAACCCCAAGTGTACGAAATCGCGATATAGCGCCCTCGAACATCGTCAATGGAAGAGGCCTGGAGCTCTGCGTGAATGTCATCTTCCCCGGCGCCAGGGTGAAGGTGTAGCACACGGATTGCACGCGTCGCAGCATCGAGAGGGAGGTAGATTTCTTTCTTAGTCTTCCTGGCGCGTCTTCTGAGCTTTGACGCGATGCGCCGGGCCATGGTGGGTGGAGTGTGGACAGCTGTCATTCAGCTGAGAATGCCCTATGCTTACGCTTCGTGATGGCGCGACTCAGCCACTCACAGAGTGGGCGGCCTAACCGCAAGCTGACGGCCAGCTCCAGAGTCTCGCGATAGACTCCTGGGAACATTGCTGGTTTGATGCGATCGGCACTATTTGGCATCCGATGAACGATAAGGCGACAAGTTCAGTCTCCAGGGCTACGTTGGGATGTCAGCCGTGACGTCACATGCGCACGATCCCGACAGCTTCGGCTCTAATCGCCTGTGGTGCTCGGAATCGACGCGTCCTCATCATTTGCCAAGAACCACAACGACGCATCAAACCTTTGTTCAACCACATCCTTCCCATACTCTCTCTCTACCTGATGAACATTAAATGAAGCTATGAAGCTGTCGCGCAAGCATGCTGGGCGACTCAGCTAGCGCCCGCAAAAGGAGCGTATGACGAGCGATCGCAGCAGCTAGCCCGTGCCTAGCGGTGTAGAAAAAGGTAAGAGAGACGAACGGGTCGCGTCCCGTGGAAGTCTCTAGTGCCAATAATGCTTGATCGGCATGGCTTTGTACCTTGTTTTAGGACTGCTTTAAGGCCGGCGTGCCTGGAACACGTCGGGTGCTGCTCCGTTATCACGATCTCACTCTTCTCTCGATAGCAGGACATGCTATCGACAAACCTCCGTCGAGCTACCGTTGCGCTTCTAGCTTCAATCCGCTTAGTTCATTGCTCCACCAGCAGCGAACATGAACAGTTCAAGGACGTAACATGGGATGACCAGAATTGGGTTATAGCGACACATGCCCTGGATCAAGGCCACTACCAGTCCCGCCTAACGCTTGCAAATGGCTACTTTGGCATCAATGTAGCATCGGCAGGACCTTTTTTCGAAGTGGATGAGCCAGTGGATGGCGACGTTATAAGTGGGTGGCCGCTGTTCAGCAGACGACAAGCTTTCTCGACCATCGCAGGCTTCTGGAATAGTCAGCCACGAACAAACGGAACGAATTACCCCTGGCTGTATCAGTATGGGTGGGAGAGCTTTACTGCTGGCATTCCACATGCTAGTGGTATCGTTGTGGAGGCCAACGGCGAATTTCTGAATGCATCAGTCAACCCCGATCACATTTCCGATTTCGTATCCAGTCTAGATGTAAAAGCTGGAATTGCAAGCTGGCGATACAATTGGCGGCCTGGTGGTTCCGGAGATGGGACAGTTGATGTGGACTATCAGATGTTCGTGCACAAGCTTTATGTCAATAAGGCAGCAGTCAGGCTAAGACTGACTGCAACACGCGACCTCAACGTGACGGTGTACGACGTTCTTGACGGTGACTGTGCTGTTCGCTCAGACTTCGTTGAGAAGAAGTTTGAAGAAGACACGCCTACGATCTGGTCCGCTGTCAGCCCGGGAAACATCACCGACGTAAAGGCTTATGTATATTCGACTCTGAGTGGCAGCGATTGGGTCAATCTTACTGATCGTAGTGAAGTAGCCGGCGGCATCTTCAGTGGCGGCAATGGCTCAACCATTGCGCAGTCTCTCCCGGTCGAGCTGGTCGCCTTTCGCCCCACCGAAATCACCAAGTTCATCGGGGTCGCATCGACAGACGCTTTCCCAGACCCACAGAGCGTAGCACGCGACGCATCTCTATCTGGTGCCGAAGAGGGTTACTACAAGTTGTTGCATTCTCATATTGAAGAGTGGGAGTCCATACTAACACCAGACTCGGTCGATGATTACCACCTACCGAACGGATCTCTCCCGGAAGATCCAGACGTACGGACATTGCATATCATGGCACGAACCAACCCATTCTACTTGTTATCCAACATGGTCGGACCCAATGCTGTAGCTGCAGCCAACAACAATACAAAGCTCGACATTTACAGTATTCCTGTCTGTGGGCTGGGCTCAGACTGCTACGGCGGCATGATATTCTGGGATGCAGATGTATGGATGGCCCCGGGAGTCCAAGTATCGCATCCGCAACACGCTCAGAATGTCATCAAGTACCGCGTAGAACACTTCGATCAAGCGCAACGCAACGTCGAAACTGCGTACCAATCCAGCAAGAACCAGACAGGTAGATTTACACCTGGAGGAGCTGTGTATCCTTGGACGAGCGGGAGATTTGGCAACTGCACAGGCACTGGCGCGTGCTTCGACTACGAGTACCACCTCAACGGCGACATCAGTCTTGCGCTCAATAATCACTTGATCATCACCGGAGATGGAGAATACTTCAACGACACCCTTTTACCGATCTCAAACGCTATTGCGCATTTCTTCGGCCAGTTGCTAGACTTCAACGAGACGTCTGGGGCATACGAGCTCTGGAATGCTACGGACCCCGACGAATACGCCAACCAGGTCAACAACATCGCCTTTACCACTGCACTCATGCAACGTCATTTCCTCGAGACGAACGAGTTTAACAGCTGGTTTGGACGCAGCCCCAATGCTAGCTGGGCAGACAAGGCATCCAATATGCGAATCCCAATCAACGAGGATGCTGGCATCATTGTGGAATACACTGGAATGAATGGATCAGTAGCGGTTAAGCAAGCTGGTAAGTAACATCCATCTCTTCGACAGTTGAGCCACTAATCATGACTTCTATTTAGACGTTGTTTTGGTAGACGACCTACTGCATTACCCGAATCCATACAGCTTAGCCAACCTGGACTACTACGCGGCGAAGCAGTCTCTAGATGGCCCCGCAATGACATACTCTTCGTTTGCCGTTGTCGCAAATGAAGTCTCACCATCTGGCTGCTCGAGCTTCACCTACGACGTTTACTCATCCTCGCCATACGTCCGCGCACCATGGTACCAATACTCAGAACAACTCATTGACAACGTCGACAAGAACGGCGGCACACACCCTGCTTTCCCTTTTCTGACCGGCATGGGAGGAACTAACCGCGTGGGTATTTTCGGATATCTTGGTCTCGGTCTCTACTACGATAGGCTGGATATCGACCCCACGCTGCCGCCGCAGATCCCGTATCTCAACTACCGTACCTTCTACTGGATGGGCCATGGTATCAACGCTACTTCCAACTCGACGCACACGACTTTGACACGTCTGCCACGGGAGAATTATACCCTGCCATCGGCGAACGCGACATACTTTGACAAGCCCATCCCCGTTACGATCGGTACCCGCAGTAACCGCGACAACACAACGTACGAACTTGGCGATGAGCCACTCGTAGTGCGCAACCGACCAATGGGCGAAATATTCACAGTCGGCGGTAACATCCTCCAATGCAAAGCTCTGCTCCCACCATCCCAGGGCAACAAACCTGGCCAGTTTCCTATTGCGGCTATCGACGGTGCCGCAAGTACGAAATGGCAACCCGAACTTGCGAACATCACCAGCTACCTGACCGTAGATCTCGGCGATTCAACGTTCTACCCTATCAACAAGGTCGTAATGGACTGGGGCAACCAGCCACCCTCATACTTCGAAATTTCCTTCTCCAACACCACTTTACCGCCGTTCGAAAGTCAACCCGGCTTAGAACTAGATGAAGATGTGAGAAAGGTAACAGCAGGAGATGTTGAGATCAGTGCGCCTTGGGATCCGGTTACGGCGTATGAGATCAAGACGTACATCGGCAATCAGACGAACGTCACGCTTGAGCAGAGTGTTTGGAGCGGACGGTATGCGCATTTGGGTATTAGCGGGAATCTTTTCGCGGAGAATGCTACGGATGGGGGGACGGTCGCGGAGTGGAGTTTGGTTAGGGAGGGGTTTTGAGTTGCTGGGTTTGAGTTTCGATGAAGCTGTTGTATATGGAGGAATGACCGCAACGTTGGTACTCGTAGATTATAATGATACTCTTGTAATTAGCGGATCTTCAACCTTGTTTCGTAACCACAAAGCTAGTACAATACCCAGCCCCAATCGTCTGGATCTCTCCTGGTATGTTGATTTCATTCCAGAATCCGCTGACCATATCGTTCTTCATCTCAGCCCCAATATTTGAGAGATCGCCACAGTTCCCATGTTTACCCCAACCCCATGATATTAACTTGCCTTCTTTGGTCACAGCGAGGATGTGGTCCGACCCAACAGCGATTTTGTCCAAAAGCGGTAGATTGGGCGGTAGTAGCTTCCACATGTTTTCTTTACCCCATGCGGTAAGCGTTCCGTCGTTGATGAGCACGAAGATGGCGTGCCATGTAGCTCCGATGTCTTTCCAATTCTTGACGTGTTCGGGCATGTTCGAGATGATGTTGAACTTGTCTTTGCCGAGGAGGTGGTGTTTACCCTGGGATGGGTCGCTGACCAGGTATGTGAAGTCCTTGCCACATACCACCTTCTTAGGTCTAAATGGTATACCTTCGATTGGGCTAGGCGCCATGCCTTTGCCGCCCAAAGGTATGGCGCCGTACAGTCCATCCCCAAGCTGACCGAGACGTGCTTTTCCCCAACCGTATACTGAGCCACTTTCCATAATGGCGATGTAATGCCAAGCTCCTGCTGCGAAATCGATCATCCTGCCTCGAAGTAGAAGCAGGCTGGAGCCTTCGCGTGAGCCTAGCTCACCCCAGTTGTTCGAACCGAACATCTTGATATAATTTGTTAAAAGTTCAGAGTCGTGCTCGTCAGGCTCGAGAGGCTCGAGAGGCTCGACAGACTCGACACAAGCTGAGGACTCGCATGTAGCGGCGGTAGAACTGTTATTGTGGGACAACATCTGGAACGGTTCAAGTTGAGGTGTAGGATTTTCCTTCCACAGCTGATCTTTGCGATTACTACCAACACCATAGACCACGCCGCTTTTTGTGCGGAACAGAGTGTGATTGTCGCCGCCTCCGATGTACGATATCTCGTCTAGAGGTATAGGGCAGCAGCCGGTTGTAGGATTGAGGACTGGCGTTGGGGTATCGACTATTTCGGCTGCTGGGAGCCCGAGTTGACCTTCTCCGTTACTTCCGAAAACGTATAGTTTGTGCGATGGATCTGTGGCAAGTGACGGGGCCACATAACAAAAGCAAGTTTTCTGAGAGCATGACATTTTGGTATGGGAGTAGTATGGTAATCAGAAATTCGGTGGGTGTCGCTGAATAGGTTGGCGATGAGAGCGACTGGTGTGCGCGTGAACGAGAAAGGGTGGGTAAGGATGCTTTGCTTGTTTAAAATCCTTCCAGAGCACACGCAATGAAAAGAGCTTTGTAATGTCTACGCTCTTACTTCCTCAACGGACGAATCACAGATATGGTATACAGAACCTCTTTTGAACGCTGCAATGCCTTGTAAATATGTCTGTGCAGATAACCAACCTGCATATGGACGATCTCAGAAGTGAGGCGCGGTACAAACAGCAGGAGGAGTTCCAAAGATACTCTAGATCAAGATCTGAAAATGCTCGTGGCAAGATTGAAGATGCGCGGCTTCTTGAGTTGACGGCGCTAGCCCGCCGCGACGCTAATCGCTTACAGGGATAGCGGGTCCGTGCGCCCACTGAATTTCGACATGCAACATCGTCGGGTAACTTCCACCCATCGACGACAGCCAAACCGACCACGCCCACCCGTACTAACCGCACGCACATTCCACAGTCGCCCAACATGGCCTCCCAGAGCGTGCAATGCTTCGGCAAGAAGAAGACCGCGACTGGTACGCAAAGCCCGCCGCCCGACACCCCAGAGCAAGAAGAACAAGGCTAACAATACCGCCCACAGCTGTCGCCCACTGCAAGGTACACACGCAATGCCACGATCGAACGCGCAACCGAACAGCATACTTACGATGAAATTCTAGGCCGGAAAGGGTCTCGTCAAGGTTAACGGAAAGCCTCTTTCCCTCGTCCAGCCCGAGATCTTGCGATTCAAGGTCTACGAGCCCATCCTCATCCTCGGTGTTGACAAGTTCGGTACGCACACACGAAACCCCAGGGAGGAAGCTGCGAAGGAATCACGGGCAAAATACTAACAACTTGGGCAGCCGACGTCGACATCCGCGTCCGCGTCTCCGGTGGTGGTCACACCTCGCAAGTCTACGCCATCCGCCAAGCCATCGCCAAATCCATCATCGCCTACTACCAAAAGTACGTCGACGAGCACTCGAAGAACCAGCTCAAGCAGGCCCTGATCCAGTACGACCGCACACTGCTCGTTGCCGACAACAGGCGGTGCGAGCCCAAGAAGTTCGGTGGTCCAGGTGCGCGCGCCAGGTACCAGAAGTCTTACCGTTAAGCGGTATCACTTTTGGGCTTGGAGAGGAGAAAGATGGAGCGGTGTATGGGGGAGCATGGAGCGGTGTTCATCCTGGGCTTTTACATGGGGTCTTCTACTGTCTACTATCTATCTCCTTAAGGACGAGGTTACGTGACATGGCGCGCAACGGCTGCCTGGTACGATCCCCCGGCTTGTGACGATACAAAATGAATACATTGGTTGCAAGAACATGGACAACGGCGTGTCGAGTGTGGATGGTCATGAGATTCTCAGTGAAGCAGGATAAATGAATGCCAATCGACTCTTCCCCAGACGAACTACTTAGGCACCGAAGTGGTACACGCCAAGCAAGCGCACAGCTGTCAAAGACGTTTTATGAAGAGGGCAATGGACTCAATTAACGGTCTAACATTCACCATCTCCAACACCAACGCTTTCATGCATTAACACACATACGCACACACACACTAACACAAGTTATCCAGCAGCCAACCACTTCGCCTTCTCGTCCTTCCAGGTACGTCCCTGGAGGTCAAGACTGTTGTTGGTATAGCCATAGATTTTGAGAGGCGAAGGCTTCTAACCATCGCTACCGCTGCTCCTAAACGCCGCACACAACGCGGCATACTGGTGTGTGAGATCGAGGACGTGCTGGGGTAGCGAGGTACCCTGGATGATGCTGCGGATCTTGACGGCGCCTTCTTCTTCGATAAGTTTGCGGATTGTGTAGAGGAGGGAGGGTGAGAACTGGTGTTTTGTTAGTTTCGCCATATTGTCGAAGAGGTGAAGGTAGACTTACCTCGGAGTACCATCGGTACTGCCAAGTGACCAGTCTGATCAACGCAGCTGTAACGTCCCTGACTTGTTTCCTCTCCTCGCCTAGTTTCAGGACGCCTCTCATGGCTTTTGGTGAGAACTTAATTTGCAGGCAGTTCTCGTATGCTTCCACTGCCTCCTCTGTGTGATGCAGTCTCTCGGCGAGTTCACCTAGGATCTCCCACTCCTCACTGCTCTTCTTGTATAGAAGTTGCTGTTGCCTGTACTGCGCCATCTCAGTTCGCCATATCGTGTATACTCGCAGATCCTCGTACAGGACCATGAAGAGGTTGTCGAGCCAGCGTTCGCAGAGGCGCTTGTTCTGGAAGTGTGTGTAGTTTGGTTGCGAGGGGTTGCCGTTGTTCGCGGCGTCGTGTGCGTGAGGGTCTTCACTGCCGGCTTTCACAACTTCAGAGGCGACAGTGTGCATTGGCTTCTCGAGATCGTTGACTGCCTCGGTGGCCGCAGACGATGATTCGCCGTTCGTGTTGGATATCTCAGCGGAGGAGCGCTCCTCGACCTCGCCATGGTCACCATTTGTTTGCTGGGCGTGTGTGTTTGGAGAAGGAGAACGGAGCGCTGTTGTGCTGGCGCTGCGAGAATGCGGTTGCTGTGCGGTCTTTTCATGGCGGTATTCCTCCTCCATGACGAAGACTTGGCTTCGTATCTTGAGTAATTGATCCCAGCCTATCTTCTTTGTAATCTCGGTCAGCAGAATGTATGCTTTGAGGAAGGTACCCTTGAAACCCGCAGCGTGCAGCTTCCTCAGAGTTGGGTGCACAAGCTCCATATCGTCGATGTTGGAATCTTCAATCTCGTCGCACATGGCTTCTGGCATGACAGGCAGAAAGACTCGCTGTGGCTCGGGCATCCGTGGTGCGTCCTTGTCCTGGTAGGTGAACATGGGACATGAGTTGAGAGTCAACAATGCCATGTCCCACTGCTCGAGGCTGACGTATATCTCTGCTAAGCGCGCCCATGTGCCAAACTCACTAGGTGCAGACACAACGCTCCTCTTAGCAATCTCAAGCGCCAGGTCGCCGCGGCCCTTCTTGTTGCAGAACTCGGCTTGGCAGTCGAGCAGAGAGTAATCCATGGGCAACTCTTGGATGGCCTCGTGTAGCAGTTGGACTGCCTGCACCTCCTCATCTGCCTCGATGTATACCCGCGCCAGTAGGGAAGAGATCTCCGGATCGCGAGTTCGCAATTTCTCGAACAGATTGATGCCTGAAGTATATCTACCGGTGGTATGAATGTAGTCGAGAAGACCCGTAGTCAAGTGGTTCGAGACGAGATTTGGGACTTGGATCTCGGGATCAGATCCTAATTGCCAGCCTGAATTGCGTTAGCGGAGATATCATCATGCGAGCGAATATCATACCGTTGAAGAACAGGCGCTCTGCTGCATCCAGAAACTTGTGCTCGCTCTCGGTACTTGTGATGGGATTGAATCTCCGCACACCAACGATCTTCTTGATCGTGTCGCCGGAGCCATCGTCGGCATAAGAATATGCGCGCAGTACGCTACACAGGTAGGTCTCTAGCCAGAGTTCGTCGGTGGCTACTCGTTTGTCGCCGCGCTCATCGATGCAGTAGCTCTCCACAGTGCCAGGGATGTAGACCTGCACGCGCATGTCCAGCCGTGAGAAGGCATTGTAGCAGCTGCTCGGTCAGCAATTGCCAGCGCCGCAAGGAGACATTCCCCTACCAATACAGCCCAGAGACGACCTTGTTTTGCTTATCGTGCGCAGAGTATGTGAGGGTGTTGATGTAGGCTGCCAAGCTGGCAGACGAGGAAGCGTCTACGCCGGATACGTGGTGGTAGACGCCAATCTAATCACATGTCAAATTGGGTTCGCGGCCACTGTGCGGTCGAAGGTACTACGGACCTGTTTTGTCGCATTCTTGATGGGCTGCTTTATCAGGTGGACCAGATCTGGCGGGCCCAGCTCTCGTAGGGTCTGCAGAGATTCCGAGCGCGCTTCGATTGCGGAGTGTAGCTCGTCCTCGTAGATTCTAGAGCCGTGTTAGAAGAGATTACAGCAGAAATGCGCCATGATGATGTGTTGTGACTCGAAAATAGCAGCAAGGATGCAGGTGGGCGCATATGTAAAACATGTGTAGATTGAAAGCTAGTAGGTTGCGCGTACTCGGGAACAGCTGGCGATGTGACCATGGCTTCAATTGGCGCCGCAAATGCGGGGGGACGATGGCGGTGAAGAGGATGCTATGGCGGGGGCGGGTTGCTGGCGGAGGGGCTTGGTATACACTTCACAGCCCGGGCGGATGTTTGTCAGGGTTTCGGTGTCCTTGCTGAGTATGGAGGGCAGGCACGGTAGCTCATCGCGGAGGACCGCAGCTGCCAAGACGGGGCATCCCTGCGCTCCATCATTCACTGTCGCGTCGCGTCACACCGAGGCCTCACGACGTGTCATAGGCCACAGCCCAGTCGCATCCCACCTTCTTTGTCCACACCATCGTCGCGCCTTCCATGGTTGCCTGCTGCTCAGGGTCTGTACCACCAATGCTGTGAAACGTCTCTCATTCGCCTGTCGGCCTTTCCCAACTGCCTACAACCACGCACCTCTCGCATCATGGTAAGTACAACCCCGGCATTCTCAACCATGCCCGCTCACATATCGCAGTCGAAAGCCTCTACATGGCATCCCTACAACGTCGAGCTTCCCGAGGAGACGGCCGAAGAAGAAGTCGACGATACCCAGGAGATCCAGATCGAAGAGGCGCTGAAACTGTACCAAACCGCCCTCAACTACCACTCCAAAGGCCCTCCATCGTTCGACAAGACCGCCGCAGCTTACAAAGCTCTCTTCGAATCAGAGATTTTCAAATACGCCGAATCTCTCTCCGAATACCAGCGACATGAGGTCTTTGGCGAAGACCTGGTGTTCGACACCATATTAGAGGATGACTACGAGGCGGGCCCCGTCCAGTCTACAGGCGCTGCCGACAGCGCCCCCAACACACTCCAGCAAATACTGCACCTGTCATACAAGAACCATGGCCAGTTTCTGCTTGAGGCGATGCAGCATTGGATCGCTACCAGTGGCGTGTCACCGCAGATGGAGGCATGGAACAACACACGTGGCGCCCTAAATTACTTTGCCGAGGCTTTGGACAAGGAAGACACCGATCTGGATCTCTGGCTGCGTGCGGCATCTGTCGCGGCTATGCTGGGCAGCAAGCGCCTTACTCGCTACTGTCTGGAGGCAGTCTTGGATGGAAACGACGAGCAGTGGGAGAGCCTGCTACGACTTCCTGGGTTGGAGGAAGGTTTTGCCGGACAACAATTGCGCGAGCTTGTAGGACGTCTGGAGGATAATGTCTCACTGAGCCAGGCGCCACTATCCTCCATCAAGCGCAAGAAGCTTTCCGAAACGCTGAAGAGACGCCTAAATCCATTTCCGTTCGCGCCCCTCCCAGCCGATGTCGCCCTCGCCGAAAGCCTACACAACATCAAGGTAGCACCGGAGAGCGTGACCCTCACTCCGACCAAGTGGGACTGGGCAGGAGTGGGTGATATCATCGTACGGCAGTTCCTCTCTGAGCAACAGGGCATGACGCCTAACGTGCCTTCTGGTTCCAACATAGTCTTCAGCATACCACCCGAGAGTGAGACTCCTGAGCGCATCGAGTCTGAACCACCCGCACCAGTACAGGAAGCCTTGATGCCCGCCCCTGCGCCCGCTCCGACCCCGTCGCCACAGACCGAAGAATCCAACACTGCAGCGACCGAGGCGGAGAACGTACCAGAGAAGGATGGCGAAGACACTATAATGGAAGAGCAGGAGGCCGAGGGCGAGGTCAAGAATGAGGAGGCTGCAACTGTTGGCCCTTCCAATGTTGCACCAGTCCCGTCGCGCAAACGATCGACAGACTCTGCTGGTCTACCCGAAACCGCAGAGGGTGGAAGGTCACGCAGTAAACGCATTCGGGGTCGAGAGTCAATTCTTGAACCGACAATTGGCAATGCAGCTCAAGAGGCTAGTAAACAGCTTGACACACAACTTGAACCATACACATACGCAGATTCATGCCTCTATGAAATCCTCAAGGATATGTATGCGAAGCTCGGTGTCGAGGGAATGAAGGACCCCGATGAGCTGCGTAAGCTGGTCATGGCGCTCCCTGACGCGACTGCTACAGATCCCATTGATAAGGCCGCTTGCGATTTCTTCACGGGA